CTTTATTTATAATAAACCACAAACAACAGTAACTTTATTCCCACCCACAAAAAAGAAAATAAGTAAATAAAATCTGTTCAAGCAACACAACAGCCTGATATCAAACAGAAATATCTCATTAAAAAGCTGTCATCTCCATCACGATGAAGTGCTTCACTTTGTGTTGTTTCAAGCAGCTTTTCATACTTTTGGCCACAGGATGGAGCCAAACAGAACTGTGTTGGAAAGCTTCGAGTAATGACCCCTTTTTCAAAGCAAGCTTCAGTGCTTCAGAAAAGCCTCATTTGCCCATCACTACCAGCCATGCAGTGAAATGGAAGTTTTGCACTGTGAACCCTGTGCACCTCCTCCTAGTGGTGGGAGGCCGCCATTTCCCAGGTAAAAAAAACAACCTGACATACATTATGGGAAATGTAGTTTAAAGCAATGTATGCTTATTTTAAGACTTCGATACATCTTTGAAACTTTCAAAATCAACTCCACTTTGCTCTTGTCCCTCCTTAGACTAGCCATTACCTCATCAATCTGGTGAAATTTCAGCTCAATTCGTCCACAGTGAGGCCATCTGAAAAACTATCAATGGCAGGTAAACCGATATTTGTTCATAACATTTCTAAAGAACCCCACTTTAAAAGTTCAAGGTCTTGGAATTTGCTTAAAATTTAAATATTCAAGTCCCTTCATCTAACTCTGGAACAAATGGGTCAGACCTGCTCATAAAGTTTGTTACAAGAGGAAGGAGACCTATAGCCTTTATAAAAGCTTGTCCTGAGTGCTGTAAAAGCAGGTATACAATACTGATGCAATTTATTACCAATGATACCTGTCTCTGTAGGCCTCATTAAGGTCAACACATGCAAATATTTATTGCAGCTGGTTTTACTGATGGCATTAATCATTTTTTCTTGTTTCTCTTCCTCGTTAACCTGCTGCTGCAGATCCAGGAAATGTTTGGATAAATGACTCTCAGAGTGTGTTGGATGTCAATTACATCCAACAAAGCGTTTATAAGGAGACTAAATTGAGAAATATTAGTTAGAATTTCAAAATGAACCCACTTGGCTTGTTGATTTCATCCAGAATTTGAAGTAGAATTGTGTTATTGCTAAAGTTTTTCTTTCTTCCTTTGTTTTACGTTCCAACTTTGTCAGGATGTCCATCTGACATTTGATTGCCAGTCAGTTTGAGAAATGGGTGGTGGGGAAACAGAACCAGTGACAGCTTTGTGTGTGTGTTTGAGTGTGTGTATTTGTGCTTCTGACAAGGAAAGCTGCCGTTTCTTTGACCATGAGACTCACGATGTTGACTCTTTCCACATACTGCCAAGTCACACGTCCGCATTCTCAAGCAGTGAAAAACAAATTCACGACAGAAAATGTCACGGTGTCACAAAAACAGACAGGACAGAGAAAGTCCTTGTCACAGAAAAAAGGAAGGTTATAGAGTTGAATTAATGATCAGTCCTGGCCTAGACAACAGCACAGCAATACTAAAATGGTGGTGCTGAAAAAAAAAAACAGTTTTCATACCCGGAAAGTATTGTAATATTGTAAGTAATTCAAAATGTTGACGAAAAAAAAATCCAGTTTTGTCCTTTTTTTGGGGGGTGGGTGGATTCAAACAGCTGAATCCAAGTTTTCACTATCAACCAGTTCTAAACAGTTTTACAGCAGTCTTTGTCTCAGTTAATACTCTAGTCTGCAGTTTTCTGCATGATAACCCCTCCCCGTATGCACAGATGTGTTGCGCCTGCCTCACATGCTTGGTGCCTATTATGTGTGAAGCTGCTGGAAAGACCCCACACTGAGAAGCCCCATCTTAGCGCTCCCCTTCCTCTGAGCCACCATCTGTACATAGCAGCGAAGCAGTCTCTTCACAATAATAAGTCTGCCGGTCCGGGGCCTCGCAGTAATGAAATCTTCTTGAGGAGGAAGATGCTGAGCTGCTGCTCTGAGGATGTGCAGCTCGCCCAGGACAAACAGAACAGGCACACAGCAAACTGGCATGAGCCCCGGCTGCAGTTCTGGAATGTTTGACCACAAAAGCCGATTAATGGATTTCAACCCAGTCTGGAGGAGCAGGGAAAGCGTGGCTGTCTTAGCCCTTTCCCCCAAAGAACTTAGAGGAATCCAAATACTCAGCACTCAGGGTAGGGATTGGAACATCAGAGAAAAGGATGGCTGGAAATGACTTTCTTTAACTGGAGTGTTGTTATTTTACTACTTTCAGTTGTCAGTGATTTCTCAGTCATGCTCATCTTGTGTTTCTAATTCAGCCAAGCATCTTTAGAATAAGTCAGTAATATGTACGGTTTTCATGTTACAGTAAAAAGTGTATCTTATTTGTTAGAATTTTGTATAAACAGAATACATAAAAACAAATTAAAGGAAATGTCTGGATTAGATGTAAAATGACTTGATGACTATTTAACACCAGGTTTAGTTTACTTAAAATGTATTGATTTAGAGCTGAATTAGACTTCATGCAAATGTAGTTACTGTAAAGTGACATGTTTATTTTTAGCATATGATGAAATACAAGCGAAATAAATGAAAATGACTTGAACTCAATTGAACTGAGCAAAACAGAATGAAACTAAAACTTTTTATGAATTGAAAAGTTTCCTTGAAGGTCAGCTTTCTTTGAATCTGATATAGTTATGACTAAAAAAAAAATCCTTTTCTTTTTGAAGTCTCTAGTCCAAGGCTAGTCAACTAAATTGCTCCAGGGGCCACATTACTGCAGGCCAAAAGCTCAGGGGCCGAACAACCAGCACTTTGTCAACCTAAAAGATTTAATAGCAACTGAAGTAGCAGTTGTAGAAAACTGTGAGTTTTAGCTTAAGAAATTAAGGAACCAATTGGCGGGCCCACCGGCCACCAGTTAAATAAGTCTGCTATGGTCAAATGTAGGCTTCAGTGTGACCTTCAAAGAAATCACCATAAAATAATTAATTTGATATGCTGTCCTTTAGCATGCAGTAATGGAGTGTGGGTGTATTTATATTTAACCTATATAGCGGGAACACGTCAACATTTTTCTCAGTAAATATATTACTAGAGGTGCTAATGACATGAGATTTTCACCAGATGTCAGTAACAACCCAAGTGATCCATACATACAAAGAAAGCAAACCATAAATGTCCAGAAATGAAGTTATTTGTAATAATGTGGAATGGCACAAGGAAAAAGTATTGAATACATGAAGAAA